TGCTGACTCATGGTCAACCTGTCGTCCACTAGGACACCCAGGTCCCTCTCTGCAGAGCTGCTCTCCAGCATGCCCACCCCAAGCCTGTACTGATGCATGGGGTTGTTCCTCCCCAGGTGCAGGACCCTGCGCTTGCCCTTGTTGAACTTCATCAGGTTCCTCTCTGGCCAGCTCTCCAGCCTGTCCAGGTCACGCTGAATGGCAGCACAGCCTTCTGGTGTATCCACCACTCCTCCCAGTTTTGTGTCATCAGCAAACTTGTTGAAGGTACACTCTAACTCTTCATCCAGGTCATTGATGAAGAAGTTGAACAAGACTGGGTCGAGTACTGACCCCTGAGGGACATCACTAGTTACCAGCCTCCAACTAGACTCAGCACCGCTGATGACAACCCTCTGAGTTCTGCTGTTCAGTCAGTTCTCAATCCACCTCATCCTTGGAATCTATGAGATGGTGTATGTAATATTTGGGTAGGTTAATATGGTGGCAGTGCCTCTAGTGACATGCGGAAAGCAGACTCCACAATGTGTAAGATTGTAAAGTAGGTATGTTTATTCGGAGCCGGGCGGCCCCGGGTAGTCCCGCCAAAGTCGTGCGTGCTGAGCAGCAACGTGTCTCTTCAATTTATACAATCAAATATTACATATACATTAGATTTCCCAATGCACCTATACATATGCATCTATCCTCATTGCATATCAAAATCAGTTCCGAGAAATAATTTCCATATTATAATTAGTTCCAAGAAGTAATTTCCATAGACTACTCCCAGTTGCACTTGCGCGGTGCCTCCTAGTGGTGGTCGTTGGGGGTCCCAAGATGAAGGCCTGTCCTCTTCATCACGGTGTCCGCTGATCGACCTTTGTTTCTGCACAAACTCAGTTCTCTCCTGGCTCCCATCCATACAGCAGGGTCGGTCTTGACCGGTTCTAGGCGACTCCCAGCCCCTATCAGGAACTGACCCCTTTGTATGGAGAAGCAAGACTCTCTGCTTCAGTTCATTTAGACAGTAGATAAGCACTATCAGTTTTTTAAATGCACAGCAACTATTAGGTAATGCAACTTCTATTAAAATCCCTTTTAACCCCTTCCCTCACTAGCACTACCAAATTTCAATGTTTTATGATTGTCAGTAAAGAAGAGGGGGATAAAAAGAGAAATTTGTCATTGTTTAACTCAAACAGGAAATCAGAATGTGTTGGAATGTGTTCACTAGTACTTACAGTTAGTACATTTTCCTGGAAGTATAATTAGTAAACAAAATAAGTTAATCTCAACTCTGTTTAAAATATATTTTGACATTTTTGATACTTGTGCATAGTAATAGTCTTCCTCTTTTAACTGGTTAGTGGAAAATGAGAACCACTGTGACTTTGTAAAACTTCGCAAGATGCTTATTTGCACAAATATGGAAGACTTAAGAGAGCAGACTCATGCACGACATTATGAGTTGTACAGACGCTGCAGACTGGAAGAGATGGGCTTCAGAGACATTGGCCCTGAGAGCAAACCAGTCAGGTAAAGGACTTCATGTGCAGCACTTGCTTTCAGCATCCATTCACTTCACATTTGACTCTATCGACCCAAAACAGAGCAGGGGTCGTACATAGAATAGGTTTTCTAACAAGGAAAGAATTGTTTTTTTAAAATCAGAGCAATTATGTAGCTGTTCATTCAGTTGTCTTCATGGAGATTATAATTATAATATGGGATTATATGAGCATTGCTTTTACAAGCATGCAAGCTAGTTTTGTTTCTGAAATCCTTCTTTTTCAGAATAAACCTGGGGATTTTTATTTTTGTTACGGAGAATGTCAATTTTCTTCAGGTACATGCAATTTATGCCTTTTAAATTATTTTCATTATGTATTAGTATGTGGTTTTACTTTTTCTCATAATAATGTCTGATGGTTTGGTTGGACTCAAAGTGCAGAAGGAACTGAAGCAAAAACTTACAAAATCATTGGTTATACTGTTGACTTCTCACATTAGCTGCAATAATAACAAATGTCTAGCCTTTTCAGGTCAAGAAATCTTTTGCTAGGCTGAGAGGATTCCAAAGGAAAGTTAAGCAGAGGGTTATGCATGGGTCTGTATTTTGTAAGTTGTTGGAACCCTGACAGGGAAGAACTGATGCTTCAGAAGCTGTTCAAGACTTTGTGGTTTAGCAAAGTGCTATTATTGTATGGTCATGGTGGGAAATACCAGACATGAAAACAAAATATGACTTTGCATTAAAAACAGTTTCTAGAGCTTTGAACCAACTGGTATGTTTACTTGTTGTTTTACTTTGTGATCAGATTGTCTTTACCCATTCTGTTATGGGAAAAAGAAATGACTTAAATGGGTTCCCTCCAAATAGTTGTTTTTAGTGGCTTAAATTCTTTGCTCTCACCTGTACTTTGCACAGAAGTTCTAAGGCAGATGCAGTTGCTGTAACTGGTCGACAGTTGATGGAGCAGCATTTTTTTCACTTTGACCAGGTCTAATTTATATATTGTTCAAACAATAATAATGAAGTAAGATTAACGTCAGCAAGGAAGACACTGGATGTGGACACTTATTTCTTAAGTCTTAATGTCAAGGCACATTTGAAGATTAGTTCATTTAGATGATCTTGAGCTGACCAGGAATCACAGTGGTCTCTTGACATTTCTGTTAACAAGAAAGGAATAAGTCCTTTTCATAAATATGGAACTAACTGAAACTGACCATAGAGTTTTCAATGGTTTAGGTTTAGTTTAAGAACGTACACTAACAGCTGATATCTGATTATCTTTGTCCAGGGAAAGCTTTTTTTTTTTTTGAAATTTGTTCATGGCAGTATGGACTGCAGTGCCTTTGGCTTTGCTGAACTTGAATTTCGCAATGTACAGCCATCTCAAGATAAGAGTTAAATGATAAAAATGATCATCCACAGAACTATTCTCTTCCACAAACACAAAAATTGACTTTGTAAAACCCCTAAACAGTTTACCTTTTACTAATGGTATAAAGTAGCGGGTTTGTATCAGAATGTCGTAGTATTTTACGCTTCAGAAGTTGGTTTAGAAATGGATTGCTTCATGGAGATACAGAAAAGCTAAGTTCCCTCTGGTGTGCAGTTTTTATGTATGGCCCACTAAATATCAGTTTATTGAGAGCTTGGTGACAAGAAAATACACTTAATTAGTTTTGGTAAATTACATCTATTGAAAATGTCATTGTTTTGGAAGGATGAGACTAGGTATTCCATAAGAATCTAGAAAAATTAACTTTTTCGCAGATTTACTGTGACAGAAAGAGAGAAGTTGGACTGGATCTAGGATACATGGTTGTCTCTCAGTTATGTGACATAGTGAATGACAGTGAGGTCTGAAAGAGAAGGCATTTGGTCTTTTGGGAGAAATGTTTTATGATACCATAAAAAGGGAAGAGAATTTAGAGGACCTGTATATAGTGTAATTAGCAGATTAATGTAGCCTTACCCATAAGATGTTTAATGAAGCTACTGAGGAAACGATAAAAAGTGTCATCCTCAGCAGAGTGGTAGGAAATGTCTATTCCCATAGAGGAAGTTCAGTGCTTCCCATTTTGCTGACATGTAATTATCTTTCAGAATAGGGACTATCCTGTTCTAGGCAGAAATGTGTTATTAAATTGTCATCCTCTCTGTCCTTAAAGATGTTTACAATATATACACATGGATTCTAAGAGCTATAGTTTTAAAATATGGTTAATAAACTCCACAGCAGTATATGACTAATGGTTAAAATTTCATGCTACTTGTGTAAGTAATGATCAAAATGCACGCTGAGAAATCATATTTTGTGCCTGTGATGTAGCTGTCTACATACTAAATTTGGTAGTCTGAATTGGCTTATTTTATGTAAATTTAGGAAATTTCTTCTAGACTTGAGTAGTTGGCTGACTTTACTGCACCAGGGTTGGTAGCATTTGAACATTGACACTTGAGCAGCTAACATGCCCTGCCTTTTGGCATGTTGTGAAAAGGATGCCTGTGAAGTTTCTGCACCACTCTTGAATTTAAAAGTACAACAGTAGTTTATTCATCCAAGATTGTATGCCACTGCAAAACAAAACCAGTAATTCTTGGATTTTCAGCTACCTTGTGACATAGGTTGTGGGCAGACATCTGTAAAGGCTTTCACTTTTACATGTGAAAAAACATGTTGGCAAGCTTTATTTCCTTTATAGGAGACATGGAAAGAGATGGTTTCAGCATACAACAGAAAAATACATTTATTACATCTAATAATGCGTCTTTGTTACTGGGTGTGAGGAGGGAAAACAAAGATAGTAGTATTCTGAAGTGACTGTCTTCTGTACACTTTTAAAAATACCTATTCCCTAATCCTATATTTTTTGTGAATTTGTGTCGTAATAATTTTTAAATTTGTTTATTTGCAATTGAATTGTAAGAATTAACTTTTTCATTAACCAGATTTCCAGGGAGAATGAAGGTTACATGATCAGTCTGTTAGTCACTCCTTAATAAGTATGGACCAAGTCTCCATTTTCAAACTTCAGTTAAAGGTTGGCTGCTTCCAGGGGATTACATGGTTAGTGTTCCCACTGCAGGAAAAGCAGACGACCTCTGCTCCTGCCAGAAAGCAGAAGACCTCTGCTCCTACCAGTAGCTGGCCAGCTAATGTGCATTTGTTCTCAGTAAGTCATTACCTCTGAATGAAGTGTTGTCTTTTGAAACTCTTGGGAGCTTGGCAGTATTGCAGTAGAATGAGAAGGTCCTGGGTGATTTGGAACCGGGTAAGGCTACTGCATGTGAAAGATCGACACAAGTACTTACAAGTACTTAGTAAGGAATATTTAGGAAGTATGGAGGAACACTAATTGTGTAGTTAAAAAGGTGTAAGGATGTAGGCAGGACTTTGGATATTACAGTCACTGAGAGACTAGAACATAAAATCATTCATAGGATTTTGGGCTATTAATTCTGCTGCTTTCAGGACACCTGGCTTATACTGGCATTTTATCAAACCATTATTTATTTAAATTGGAGAACAATAGTTAGCATAACTTAAATTAATGGGTAATTGGGAATTTACTTAATCTCGTACATATGCCTTGCAACAACAATATACAAAACTTTTCTATGAAAAAAGAGTTCAGTCTTATAGTGGGCTATCATTCCAAAAGGTCATGAGGCTTACAGTTACGTATGTACCGTGTCAGATTAAAATATAACATGTGGTAAACCACTTTAAAAATGAAAAATGCACCATATGGTGCTTCAGGGAATAAATGGAATACCATCTAAGGCTAAACTTAGTCATACAGGTATAATTTAGTTTCCAAGCAATGAAAAGCAGCCACTCAGGAACGGGCTTGGAAAGCCTCTTATGGCCAAATTTGTGTAATTAAGTCGGTGGGTAGCAGAGTATTTGGGAGGATGGTTTACGCATTTTATGCAGTACCTGTTGAATGTAAAATCCAGGAAGTTCTTTTGTTATAATTTTTTAATACTTAAAATTGGGATTTGCATTTCTTTCTTGTTGAAGAGTAATGATAGAGCTTTTTTTGTGTGGATGGTCCAGTCCTGCCTATTTGATAGTCCAGTTATGTCCATTAAGAACATAAATTCCTAGTTTCAGGTGAATCTCAGCAAGAGATAATTTCTGAGATGTCCCAAATGGAGGAATTGGGGATAACTGAAAACAGAAATCTAGCCATGAAGAGTGCTTCCAGCCAAACAAACTTCTAAATGTATACTCACCTAATAAGCTCAGATGTTTGCAAGGGAGGAGAGGATTACTACTGTTTTGAAGTTGGACATTTGTAAGTCCATTTTCCAGTCTAAACCATGTTGTTGCTTAAGGGGATGTTCGTGTTTTGAAAGAAGAAGACTAATAGGCAAGGGTCTGTTGAAAGGAGCTGGAGATTGATATTCAGGCTGTATGCTTGTATATTTGGATTCTCTGATGTTAGTCATTCTCTTGTTTAGTTGTTTTTCTGTGCTCATAATTATAATTTATTCTTCATCATAATTGCAGTTAGACATAATTGTACCGTAAGTATCTTGGTTTCTCAATATGTGAGCAATCATATATTCCATGCTTTATTCCTTCCTGAAACTGGGAGTTGCAGTTCTTGAACAAAACCATGTTTATTTTCAATCCATTTTGAGGATGATGATGGAAAACCAGGAAGGATTCAGCGATGTGAAGAAGTTCGCAATGTAGAGGAAGGTTGATAATGACCCTAGTTGTCTTTTCTAAGAAAGGAAACCTGGTATCTGAAAGGCTGTTAGACTTCTGCCTTAAGAAGTCGCTTGGGAATGGAGTTCATCTGACCAACTGCAGATCTTTGCGTTTGAGCTAAATATTTTAACCTCCTTGTGGGAAGACTGAACCACATCCAAAATACCTGTCTTTCATGCCTCCACTGGGAAAATGGTAATTGTTTAGATCTACCACATCCTTAATGTTGCTTAATATTGATTTAGGTAGTTCACCGAGTCAAGGGACCATGCTAAAACTACCTGCCGATAGTTAACTTTTAAATTTTTTATTTTTTCTGATAGGCCTTAATTGATAGTTGAATGTTATGCAAAAAGTTACAAGGGTAGTTTTCAAAATTGAAAGCTTTTTTAAATTTAAATGAACAAACTGTAAAATATTGTGTAAATGTGTTGTTTGAAACGCACAAACATTGTGTTCACTGAGAGTTGAATTCACTTCACTTAGAGTCTTTGTTTATGAACATAACATGTTTGATTTGCATCTTTATATGTAGGCTTCTGTGTTTTAAGTCTTACACAGATAGAAAAACTGTATGCCACAGCTACGCTGCTGTAGAAAGGTAGATGATAGTGCTGTTACGAGGTATTTAATAGATTAGCAAGGTGTAGACTTTCTTCACAATCCCTTCCCTTCCTCCCAAACCTCAATAAGAATACATTATTTAAATAATTAACATCTTAATTTTGCAAGTGGTTTTGTACAGAGTATAAATTCTAGAGGTCCAACCCAGAAGAATGAGAGAACCTGTGAATTTGATTTTCATAATATGCTATATGAGAAGCAGTGAAACCAGTCTTCAGGTAAACTGAAAAGTGTTTTACTGTGAGCAATGGATGCAATAATGTTGAAAGGATTAGCTTAAGATCTGGTGAACTATTTTCCCCTCCTTCTCAAACCTCCTAAAACCAAGGACTGTTTGGATCATTATGTAGCTGATATGCCAAACATAGAGGAGAGGAGTTTGTCTTTGTGATTTCCAGAACAATTCAGTCCAGGAGAGGAGTGTTAAAAAATACACTTTTATTTCTTCACTTCCTTATAAAAGTAATTTGATTACTTAGTAAGTCCAGTGTCTTCAAAGTTAATCTTTTACTAATTTCAAGACACAATTGCTTTTACCTGATAAACTAGCTTACATTCAGTCTAAAGACGTCCATGCAATGAAATGAAGGCGCAATTGCGGCACGTTAGCTTAGTCTAGGACTTGCTCTAGCGGCTTTATTGCACCCAAAGGCACCACGTTAGCTAGCAGAACTGACGCAGCGCTCAAAAGTGTGCGTAGTGAGATTGCTAGTGCTTAAAGAACATGTGCTGTAGCTTTATTGCTATTACATATGCTGTCTAAACTTAAAGACAGTGTGAATTAATGTTACTGTGTGAAAACCATGCCCTCCTTTCATGTGGTAAATACAGTTTCAGGATAGCCTAAGTTACTTCACAGCTGATTAAAAAAAAACCCAACAAACAAAAACCCAGAAGATTGTTGTTCTGAATTTCTTTTGTTGCAATGTATTGGTCAAATAAGATAGAGTAGAAGTGCTCTGACCTTGAGATCTTACAAACATAAAGACCACATGTACAATTTCAAGACGATTCTGCTCTCTCTTTATATTATATTTTGAATACAAATAAGAGACGTTAGGACTGGGAAACTGCCCAGACATCGTAAATTGAAATATGGAAGAGAGCTGTTTAAGGTTACTGTTGCTGTAAAGAATTAAGTTTTTGGATCTCTTTTTTTGTAAGTCTTCCCATTTATAAACTGTTCTAATAGAAACAGTAGAGGATGAGACTTAAAAACTGGTACCGAAGTGTGTATGTGTATTAAAAATAGAAAGCAAATTTAAATATTTGATATACATACATATTTTACATCAGAGTGGAGGGCATGAGATACCTGGCAAAGGGCGGTGGTAACTCATGATAGCTAGGAAGGGCTGACTAGTCAACACTCAGGAAGTGCTGGAAGGCATGAATGGTGTAGGAGAACAGCCCCAGAATAAAGAGCTAGAATGTTACCTGTGTTTTGGTCTGTTCATAAGCCCTATGTCCTACAAGATACTGGACAGATCCTGTTGTTTTTGTAGTAACCATTAGCACAGCTCTGATCCACCAGTTCTGCCTCCCTGGAATCTTGTGACTTAGAGAAGTTTGTGGTTAATGTTTTGTTGGAAGAACTAGTGTCATCAGGCAGATGTGCTTCTCAAAGGTAGTGTGCTCTTTGGTGTGTGCGATACATCTGTGTACAAGCTCTGTTCCTTTTTCCCTGAAAAGTAGAACTTTTCCTGCCAGCGCTGTGGTGGCAGCAGTGGTAGTATAGACCCTGAAAGTGTCAAACCTCTAGTAGTATATGAATAAATTGGCAGCATCTTTTAATTTGACGTTATATGCTTTGATATAGAACTTTATCAGTATATTCTCAGTGAATAAAGCAGCATGCTGCAGACTTGCTTACATTTTTGGACTTCAGTCTACAGGAAGCCCATGAGGCAAAGAGGCACGAGTTCTACCTTGATCTGCAAAGAAAAGAGGAGATGAGACAATGGTTTGTGCAGAGAATGAAGGAGAAAGAAGCAACGTGGAAAGAAGAGGAGCAACAGGTAGGCATGCCTGTCTGTCTTGAGTTTGTTTGCTGAGATTTGGAACAGTTAAGTTCTTAGCAAAATCATAACTAGTTTATATTCTAATATTTTGAGGGCGGTAATGCTTAAAATCCAAACCAGATTGATTGGATTAACAGATTGATTAGACACAAACAAACAAGAGAGCAAGTCTTATGAGGACCAACTGAGGGAGCCGGGGCTATTTAGTCTGGAGAAGAGGAGGCTGAGGGGAGACCTTACCGCTCTCTACAACTACCTGAAAGGAGGCTGTAGTGAGGTGGGTGTCCGTCTCTTCTCCCAAGTAGCAAGTGGTAGGACAAGAGGAAATGGCCTCAAGCTGCACCAGGGGAGGTTTAAATTGGATATTAGGAAATACTTCTTCACCATAAGTGCTGTCAGGCTTCGGAGCAGGCTGCCCAGGGAAGTGGTAGAGTCACCATCTCTGGAGGTGTTCAAAAAACATGTAGATGTGGCCCTTAGGGACCTGGTTTAGTGGTGGACTTGGCAGTGTTAGGTTAACAGTTGGGCTCAATGATCTTAAGGGTCTCTTCCGACCTAAATGATTCTGTGATTCTATAAACGGCAGTCTGTTTTTAGAAGGAGGGAGCTTATGGTCTAAAGGCTTTGGTGGGTAGCTGGGACAAGTTAATAGAGTAGCAGGTGATACGGTGAAGTAAGAGTGATGAATATAATGGTTGCATGTTTCTTCATCTCTTCTAGCAGCATGCTGAGAAACATCGGTATGCCATAGCAGCACAGTAGGTGCTTTTCAGGCGTAGGTTGCTCTGTAAAAACCAGAATTTCAGGAAGAAATCCCATGGTTTGTTTTTCAGCCCAGGAGAGCAGGGCATGTATGTCTGTATGACCTCCAGGTTCGATTATTAAATGTAAGCTCAACCCTCATGTTCAGAGGTTTGAAAGGGGTGTGTGTGTATATTTGTTGATTTTGTTTTGTTTTTAAAATCTCATCTATTCCTGGCTGCCTTAAGAATGTTTGTAGATGTGGAACATTTCTTCAATGTGTTGTTGAAGATTTAGTCCTGTCACTCTGGACTGGCAAAACATGGTCTCTCGTCTGCTTTCTGCTAGACTCTTATAATGGTCCTGCGTATTTATACTCAAACACTGGCTTAATTGAAATTGGAAACCTGTGTATATTTATTAACATTCTTTTCAGTACCTCAGCCTCCCAGCAAAGATGTAGCAGTTTTTTCGAGGTGTTCAGATGCATGTTTTAAATAAGAAGGCTTAATACTTTGTTTTCTAAATCTTTTAAGTCCCCCATGCTACTTGCAGAGAAAAAAATCAGGTTCAGTCCTTCTCAGTATGAGGCTATCCAACTGGAAGAATACTTGGCCATGTTCAAATTAGGTTCAGCTAGGTCTTACACAGTATCTGTGGTACCCTTTGATGTTTTCCTTCTATGATTTATACCAGGCGGTTTGTGAGCTCTGCATATTGCAATTGAATTATGGATATTAGTTTTCCCTGTTCCTGGTGTGGGAAAGTGATCATGCAGTCACTCCTAAAAAACATTTGTCACATACTGTTGCTGCTTGTTCTCTGAGAAGTGTGTATGTGTATCTGGAAACTAAAGAAAAACGGAAATTTCTGTTGTACAGAAATTGTCACATCCTTCATTAGAGGAAACTTGTAGGTGCAATATGCAGCATTACCACTCCTGAGACAGAGAATTCCTTAGGACCTTACTGTTTCTACACTGAATGTTTTTATTGGTATACCTGTTTTTGCAATGCATCTGGTTAACTGTTGCAATTATTGATTGTTGAAATATGATTTCTTTATTTTAGTGATACATTATTGAATATAATAAATGAATAGCATATGTACACTCATATATACACACATTTATAAAATCTGACAGCTCTACTGTGTAAAACAGGCATACTGTTATATTTATAATCTTAGTTATTTCTTATCTTAGAACCATAGGTTGGAAAAGACCTCTAAGATCATCAAGTCCAACCATCCACCCAACACCATCATGCCTACTAAACCATATCCTGAAGTGCCACATCTACAGGTTTTTTGAACACCGCCACGGATGAGGACTCCACCAACTCCCTGGGCAGCCTGTTCCAATGCCTGACCACTCTTTCAACAAAGAAATGTTTCCTAGTATCTAATCTAAACCTCCGCTGATGCAACTTGAGGCCATTGCCTCTCGTCCTATCGCTTCTTACTTGGGAGAAGAGACCAACACCCCCCTCACTACACCCTCCTTTCAGGTAGCTGTAGAGAGCGGTAAAGTCCCCCCTCGGCCTCCTCTCCTCCAGCCTAAATAACCCTGGTTACCTCAACCACTCCTCATAAGACTTCTTCTCTACACCCCTCACCAGCCTCGTTGCCCTTCTCCGGATACGCTCCAGCCCCTCAATGTCCTTCTTGTAGTGAGGGGCCCAAAACTGAACACTGTACTCGAGGTGTGGCCTCACCAGTGCCGACTACAGGGGCAGGATCACCTCCCTTCTTAGTTCCTTCTTTGCGAAAGATGGAAATAAATCTCTGATGTATTATATATAGCTGCACTCAGACTGAATTACAGTAGTACAGATGGGTACAGAAGCAGGATTCTAGGAGAGTTTATGTGTGAGGAAATGGGAGGTGAGGAAGGGTGGAGTGACCTACTGTTTGGTTATCATGCACAACTTCACAGTAGGTTTAAAGTGGCCAAAATGCGTCTGGAGAGTAAAATCCATTAATATGTCAAAAGAACAACCAAAGAACAATTACTGCAGAAAAGCAGTTAATTTCTGCCAGCCCACAAGTAACTACCCCAACCAGACTTATCGTGTGTGTACATATTAATATCTAAATGTAATGAATATACATATTAAAATTACATCTATCTTTGGAAATACATACCTGTGTAACTAAAGTGTGTATGATTCCTTGCCCACTTGGTTTTAGGGAAGCAGATTCTACTTGACAGATCCTGATTTAATCCTTTTGTTGGTAATTGTTTCCTCTCTAAAAGTCTCCTTATTTTTGATATAATAAAGATACAGTAAAATCTAGTAGGAAATCTAATATTCACTTAGTGTCTTCTATGGTTTCTACCTGTACTTTGTGTGCAGTGGCCTGGCTTCCATGAGAACAGTCTGGTATGAATGATTATTTTTCTGGATTGCTGTTTTTTCAGTTGTACCAGTGTTGGGAAAGAACTGCAAGGTCTTGTGGCTTTTAACACGAGGTAGGTTTTACTGTTGAATTGTGGAGGGGTTTTGTATTGTGATATCACCACCTTCTGTTACTAGTTGGAAATACATTTTTTGTGCTTTCTTGAAACAGATGCAGGCTAAATTCAAACGTTGTATGCTAATGCATCGAGAAATGAAACTGAAATTAGAGAAAAAGAAAAAAGTTCTAGAAGATGAAATAGCTATGTTTATTGAGAAGAAAGCTAATGCTGAATTACTCCAGTCACAAGCATCTGTCTCTACCCCTGTTGTTAGTTTGAAGAGAGACAAGGACCGCAAAAAATAAGTGCTGATGCTAGTCATCAGAGGCAGCAATAAAAAAAAATTCTTGACATACCACTTTTACAATGCAAATGTCAGCAGTCTTCTAGAAAAGATACAAACATGGTCCTATTCTGTTATGTGATAAGAAGACAGAAGTGTGTAAAATACCCTCATGCTTGGATTTACTTTTAGAGGCTTGGATTTACTTTTAGAGTAATTGCTGTATGTTCTATGAGCGTTTCTTCTTTTTTTTTTCTTTTTCCATGAAGGAACCAAGGTTTTCGACTTGAACTGCTGTGCTTTGATGTCAGAGATGAAGAAATTGTGAACGTTCATGAACAGAACGAGAGGGAGAGGGAGAAGTTAGAAAGGGAAAGAAATTCACCCAGGGAATTCCAGAAATAGTATTTGAATGCAGCGCTCAGCTTTTGAATGTAGGATATGTTAGTTTCGTGAAGCAGTTTGACTGCTGCTGTCCCATAATACTAGATGTGTCTTTCTAGTACAGATTTTTGAGAGGAGAGATTGATAAAATTGGCTGTAAAATTACACCAAGTGCAGAATATGACCCGATCAACATTTTACTTTCTTCCCTGCCACCCACTTCTTTCCTTCTCCACTCCCAAAAGAAAAGCTCAAATAAAGGGTGAAATTTCGGAAATGTATTCAAAAGTAGTCTCCAGAATAACATGCCCAACTGCTTCATATAGAAACATTGAATTAAATGTTCATATAGAAACACTAAATTAAAGTGAAATTAAAGTTTTTTTTCTTGTCCGAAAAACTGAGAAGTCAATTAATTTATTAATTTCCTTTACTGATGTGTTACAACTTTACTGCAGGTAACATTTTGTTGATTAATATCTTAATGCTTTTGAAAACAGATTTTTTTGGTACAGAAATTATTCGTAACTGCTAGATTATGCAAAACTCTAGAAGCTAGATGGGTGCACATAGTTCCACAAAAGTCATCAAGACAGTTTTGATGTTTTTGGGGTCTATGCTAGCAGTCTGCTTGTGTTTTTGCCACAATTTCTTGCGTTTCAAGTAATGTTACTGAGTTCCTTTTCTGGAATTATATATAAAAGTGGAATTCTTGGTAACCAAAGTCATTATCTGAACTATTATGAGTAACTCTCAATTTAAAAAAAAAATTTAGCTATGTTTTCTCTGTTTTAGTTTTAATTCTTCAGAGTATGTTACAGTTTATGTGCTTGCTTTTGTTTTTCAGTTCCATTTTTACATAATACTGATGATACAAGAAACAATATTGATAATTTCTCTTGAGGAAGCAGTGATTCACACTGTGCTTTTGCAGGTGTAGGAGTTGCAGTTTCTTATGAAAGGATTTGGAAGATAACTCTTGTTGCTGTTTGCTGCAAGTGAAGATTTTTTTAAGCACAATCTGTACCCATATGGTGCGGCGATTACTGTCAGTGCCATCACGGACTTTGTATTACGAGTCTACCTTGATACGCCCTTGCCTTACGTACGTGCTTTTGTTTTAAATGCATTGTACCAAAGAAAATGTCCCTGCCATAAACAGTTCCATTCATAATATGAATGCCGTAGTACAAGAGTATTCAGTGAATATATCCACTATAGCCTTTCTGAAGAGTTACTTTCATATGGTATGGTATATTTGTCTACCAAATACTAAATACAGCTGTCGACATAATTCAACCATTTACCTGTTTTGCTGACAGCTTTTTGTTTATAGACTTTTATGTACCAGCACTGTCCTAAATTTCAGATACGATCTTTCTAGTCAAAATTTATTGAGATATTTTTGCAGTGCTGTATTGTTGCATGATAGTTAATCTGACATTAGTATCTTAATGTGGAAAGTACCTATAACTTTTTGATGCTCGTGACTGTGGTGTTCAGTTACAGCAGAGGCTGAACTTTTACAGAAACTATTAACTACAAGAGCTTCAGGTTAAAACAAGTTTAAAATGTTTTTTATACTTTAGTAGCCATGATAACTAATGGAAAACTTATAAGAGGTGCAGTTTTCTGAAGTTGTTTTGTGACTTTGTAAAAACTAAATACTAACTTCATAGAAATAAAATGCATTGGTTTTGCTTAAGTGCTTCTGTTGTTCTGCTTCCTCTCACTCCCATGTTATTAAAAACAAGGAGTGAGATTTCACATTAATCTGAAAAATATAAATGTTTTACATCTATTTTAAATGACTTAAGTCATTTATTGATTGGAAAAAATAGGCGATTTGTGCATACTGTGCCAGAAAGGCAACATGACTTGTTATGTACTTGTCGTATACCACTGTACTTATCATAGAATCGTAGAATATCTCAAGTTGGAAGGGACCCATAAGGATCATCGAGCCCAGTTCCCTGCTCCTCACCAGACTACCTGAAACTAAACCGTATGGCTTGAACTCTGACAGGCTTGGTGCCATGACCGCTGCCTCGGGGAACCAGTTCTGGGGACCTTCGATTTTGCTCACGCAGTGATGCATATTGTATAAGATTGTTTTCCTTCAATTCTGTAGCAAGGGGAAGGAATAGATGCTAAGATATATAAACCCTGAGGAAAAGGTCAAACTGCTAAATCAGTCAGCTCCACAGGCACAGCAGGCTGTAACACAGGAGGGAAGGGTGCAGAGGAGGTGCCCATTTAGCTGGCACACTCGGCCAGCATATAACTGATGATTCTTTCAAGAGAAGAAAATGGGCCAGGGCCAGGTCCTGTGATTGCTGTCTGATTGCTCCTTCCCAAGCAAAATGTAGCTTGATGAAAGTGTATTTTTTTGTTTGGCTTTGTACCATTGACTGCGCCGTTTGCATCCATTTGATTAGAAACAAGGAATACACCCTCCTTAAAGCAGGTAACAGCCAAATGAAAAACACCCACAATTTTTTGATAGATTTGGAAGCGTTATCAAGTGATCTTGGGCAGAATGTAATTATGATTGAGTGATATGTACTGTCAGCACTCGGTTATCCCAGCCGCTGCTGTTGGTGAGCTCAAGCACAGCTCTTCGTGCGCGTTACAAAACTGCGTCAAAAGACGGATTTAGCTGTCTGTAGCTTGGCCGCTTTGCTGAGGACAAAGCCTGAGATGGTGAAGTGCTGTTTGACCTAGCTAGCTCTGTGCCTGGCCAGTGCTAAGGGGGGTGCTGTGCCTTGACAGCTGGGAGCCACGGGTAGAACCGTACGGGTACCACCTGTCTGGGGCTAGGTGGGTTTGTGTTCACTTGCTCGTGTTGGCTCTGCAGGGCTCGGCAGCGAAACAAAACCAGTGCAGGCCCCTGTGCAGGTCTTTGGGACAGGAGACAACCGAAGGGAGTTTGTTCAGTTGTAGCACAACATGGGAGAGCCGGTGGTTTTTTCCTTTTTTCCTGATATTCATTTAAGCAGTGGAGAGTCATCCATAAGTATGGGAAATTTGTTTTGTTGAAGTTCACCTAAAGATGAGATGTCAGATAAGCACACAAGCACACGTCACAGCCTGACAGTCAAATGCTGTTCAAAGAATTGTAAAGGAGCAGCCAGCAATACCTCCTGAAAGTGGAGAATTAATAGTGGTAGTAAATGAAAATGTATATGCATTACTATAGTTTATGTTAACTATGTACTTGTTAATTGGATGCTTCAGAGAGGTTTATCCTGCGGATGAATCACTTCCAGGACCATTTATTAAGGTCTCTTTATTATAGTTATGGTACCTTCTGCAAGTGGCTGCTGTGAGATTGTTTATGGCGTTGACAAGTCTGAAACCTTTACCTTTTTAGATCCTTTCCTTAGCATACTTTCCATATATATTTAGCATACTTTCCATATATATTTTGTATCTTTATTCTTCACTGTATCTTTAAAACTACTTTGCCATGAGATGACACTCCCAGGATGCACAAGTGGTTTTATCTTAAATCTCCTACTGCTAAAAGTGTAGCATTGCCTACATTTTTCGTGTCAGAAACATTTAGATTTATATTACGATATTAGATAGAGTATTAAGAATGTGTGGACGTTGGAAGCAAGGACAGGCAACATGAGGGGACTACAGAGATGCTGTTCACCACTGCAGGGAGAAAATTCATGTGGCTAAAGCTCGATTAGAGGTGAAGCTGGCCAGTGCTGTGAAGGATGACAAAAAGGGCTTTTCAAAACACGTTAACAGCAAAAGGAGAATCAGAGATAACATTGGTCTGTGGCTTGATGAGGTCAGTCACCTCACAAATACGGTCGCAGGCAATGCGGAGAGGTTTAGTGTCTTCTTCATCTCTGTGTTTAACACCAAGGATGGGCCCTGGGACCCAAGAGACCGTGACTGGGGGGATGATAAACCCAGCCGATGGAGACTTGCTGCTCCCGCTGGATGCACATGAGTCTGTGGGGCCAGATGGGATTCATCCCAGGGTACTGAAAGAGCTGGCCGATGTCAGCGCGGGACCTCTCTTTGCTATTTTTCAACCATCTTGGGAGTCTGGAGAGGTCCCGGTCGGGTGGAAGCTGGCAAGTGTTGTCCCAATGTTCAGGAAGGGTAAGAAGGAAGACCATGATGCTTGCAGGCCTGTCGGTCTCAGTTCAGCACCAGGTAAAATTATGGAGAAGGTTATTCTGGGAGTTACTGAAAAGCACTTGAGAGGCAACGCAGACATTGATCATAGCCAGCATGGGTTCGCGAGGGGAAAGTCCTGCTTAACCAACTTAATTTCCTTTTATGGCAAGGTTTCCCATCTGGTTGACCAAGGGAAGCCAGTAGATGTGGGATTTTTTTATTTTAGCAAAGCTTTTGATACTTGTCTCTCACAGTATCCTTCTGGACAAAATGTCCAGCACACAGCTAGATGAGTCCCTGATCTGCTGGGTGAGCAATTGGCTGACGGGTCGGTTATAGTAAATGGGGTTACATCAGGCTGGCAGCCAGTCACCAGTGGGATTCCCCAGGGCTCAGTTTTAAAGCCAGTGCTCTTTGATGTTTTTGTAAATGATCTGGATGCAGGAATCGAATGTACATTAAGTAAGTTTGCCGATGATACTAAATTAGGCGGAG